AATATTAGTGGTGTCTGATTGGTTTGAGCTTGTCTTCAAAGGTCAAAAGTATCTGGAGGTTCCATATTCAAATCCAAAGAGAAATAAAAATTCATTTGTGGCCATGGAGGTTCAAATACGGTGACTTCAGGCTATCTGTAAAACAGGTGGTCGTCCTGGAATTAATCGGGTTACATAACATATTAGATATCCAGATTAATTGAAAAATAAATATTTCTTCTAGAATAATAGCCCCACAACAACATACATCCCACCATGATTGGTCCAACAATTATCATCATTTTTCTTTCACAACATTCCCATGTGGATCATTGACTTAATGGAAATATGGTTTGCAGGATTTCGACGGAATTTAATGATTGATTTTGTTGAATAAAATTTTGGTATGGTCTTTGATTTACGTATGTAATAGAATTGAATCTCGTACATTTTATTATTTGTAAATTTGGTCATTTTGTTATAAGGAAGAAGGAATTGGAACCAAAGTCTCTTTGTCTAATAGTATGTGAGTTTTTGATCTTCTAGGAGGTCAATGGATCAAACCTTATCAAATGTGAAAAAATTGTGTGAATTTATTTATTCTATTTACCGTATATAAAAATTATATACTTCAAAAAAAAAAAATTGAATTACAATATATTTCATTTTGTTTTCTTAAAAAGACAAAATTACTCCTTTAATCATATAATAAGATATGATATGATATATATATATATATATATATATTATATATATATACACACACTTTTATATATACGATATAAATTCTTCTTTAAACTTAGGGGTGTTTATACTCTCTCTTAAAGACATACACACACATATAGAAAGAGAGGTTCATTTGAAAATCTTAAATATTTTAGATATTCATAAACCAAATTTTTGTGAGTGTTCATGATAAATGTCGTTACAGATACTCATAATAAATATATCATAATATAGGTGATTCATGTGTTTCTGAATGAACCTGCCCCAGTCTGTATTTATGTATATTATGTAATTTATTCTTGCTTTAATAAATTGTAAATTGTATATTTTTCACATTAAGTACTTTTAATTTTATTATTCTTTATAATATGATAAAAAAACAAATTCAAAGAAAGCATTTTGTGGTCTTTTTCCATTATTCTTTCCAATTCGTGTGTTATATTATGTAAATCAAATATACAAATTCTAATTTATTTGATAAATTGCATTTTGTTTCAATGTTAACCAAACACTTGGTCAAACTTGATAACATTCCATTAAAATTCTTCTCAGATTCATATTCATTTGGCGAATTTCATTAATTAAAAAACATTCTACAAACAAAACATCCTTAAAAGACTATTCAGTTAGTTTTTTTTTTTTTAGTTCTACATTATGAACATTCAGCTATCATATCATAGATCCATTTTATGTTATTGGCGTTAGTGTATATATTTAAACATTGTGTCATGATATTAATTAATGAAATGCATTGTCCAATTATTATGTTTATATGTTATTCTGTGTTACATCTAAATGTAATAATAACTTTAGAATAGCGTATTCTAAATTGTCTCTAATCAAATATTAATTCGGGTTTAGGTTGAATTTAATATAGTACGACTAGTACATGCAGGCATTAATATGAAGATACAGAATCCGCATATGGGTACAAGAAGAGATTATAACACCCAAATTTGCACCCAAGGTGCTACGTCATAAACCACAAATAAATAATTAAAATCATTCATAAATTGAGATCCCAAAATCCTTAACCAAAAATTCCTACAGAAGTCTTAAATAAATAAAAACTCTACGATGTCTTAAATGAAAATTTTGCTCCATACCAAACCAAGACATGATAAATGTGTGCAAATGTAAACGATTAGATTATCAGTAACCTTCTTCCTACTCGTGTCCCTTATCGGTACCTATTGTGGAAGTAACTGTCTATGAGATGCATACACCAGTCAGCTAATAAGCTCAATAAGTTCATGGTTTTTATGCACATACACACATATATTTCATGACCCAAAGTTAACAATGCATAAAATCTTCCTTTTTAAAAATTCATATGAGATCTCAATATTATATGGCATGGTCGCTACACGCCAATGGTTCTGGTGGGAACTACCCGACCTTAACCCCCAGATTCCCCCGCAGTTCTCCCTTGCCTACATGAATCCCGACGTTTCAATAATGAACCACTCATATTTCCCCCATATTGCATTTAATAGCATATGTGAGTTTATCCCGTTTATAAGCATGCATAAAAGTTTAAAATGAAACAATTAGCATGCACATCCCATAACATCACATACATGCAATGCATATATCATTTAACATGTACAAACAAACCCATATAACACATCCTACAATTAATGCATAAAATAATTTATACATAATATGCATCCAGTGTAAGTCTCATGAAGGCTCACTTGAATAGCTTCACACAAGTTGCTCTTTCTTTTCTCCGAAGAGTTGAAGATTGCATCTAACATTGAGGAAGGAAAAGGATCTCATCTCTTGACGTTTGACGTTATCTGGATTCAGTGATTTGCATGGATATCTTGGAGACAACAAGCTGAGTTCGTTGACTCAGATTCAGATACAACATCAAACAGTTGTTGTTCGTTATGGTAAAAAAAAATCCTACCTGCGTTTCATTTGAATTTTCATAAGAATACAATTATTTTCCGCTTAATTTATGACTTCGTGTTCTAATAATTGTATCATTCCAAAAAATATTTTATTAAAAAATGTATTAAATATTTGCCTTAAAATAGCATCCATTTCTATTACTTGTTTGGAAAGATGTAGATGGATGGTATACCAATACATCATCATTGTGACTTGTGAGTTGTCATACACACCTCACACATGTATATATTTTCAAATTTACTTATAACTATAACATGTCTTTAAATAATTAAGCCCACATAATTCATAAATAATAATTTCATATTATTATAATTTTAATTATAAATTAAATACATATATTTTAAAGTTACATTAACTACTACATCTTTTTTTATATCTAATTATCACCAACTTATCTAATCTATATCTATACTATATTATAAAGTATTTGAAAAATATTTTTAAAACTATTTTTTATGCATGAAATACTGTATATTGATGCATATTACTTAAATTCGAGGTTACAAATAAATTGTGTGTGATTACAACTTATAAAATTTCATATTTAAATTTGCGTAACTAATTACAGATATATATAATCAACTACATGATAAACATCTCATTTTGAATATAAAAAATCAAAAATGTAATTAGAATAATCATTGAATTATACTTATAACAGAATACTTAATTATTATCCTTATAAAAATTATGTTATCTATATTATATTATAAAACATTTGACAAAAAAAATTAAAAATTATTTTTTATGCATTAAATACTGTATATTGATGCATATTATTTAAAATTCAATATTACAAGTAAATTATGCATAAGTACAAATTATTAAAGCTCTATGTTTGAATTTGTGTAACTAACTGTGGATAAACATAATCAAATAGAGAATAAACATCTCATTTTAAAATACGAAAAATCTAAAATATAATTAGGATAATTATCGAGTTCTAACAAAATAATTAATTATTATTTTTATAAAAAATTATAATATTAAACCAAATATAGATTACTTTGTTATGAACCTAAATCAAATTATAATAAAAAAGATTGAATTAAAAAATTACACAAAAAATAAGAATTTTAAATAGTTAATTTGATACTAATATCGATATATTTTTGTCAATTTTTTATGATATATTCAAATTTATATTTTATTCAAAAATAAAAATATCATTGTTTTTTCTAAACCACATAAGACCATATTAATCGACTGAGATAAAGAATAAAATGAAATATTAAAAATCAAGATGTATTTCGCTGCATTGCGCGAGTACCTTTCTAGTTAAACTAAAAATGAATTACTTTATTATTAAACCTAAATTAAATTGATTTAAAGAAACTACATAAAAAGCAAGAATTTTTAAAAAGTTAATTTAATATTAATATCGATATATATATTTTCAAATTTTTATGAATATAAACATTATCGCTTTCTTAAAGTCATATAAAACCGTATTATATCGACGGAGACAAAAAATAAATCAAAACATTATTTCGATGTATGTCATTGTATTGCACGAATATCCTTCTAGTATAATTAAGATAACTAACATCTTTTTCTATTTTCAAACGAATTATCTGTAATAAATGAAATAAAACAAAAACTATTAATTAATATATTAAAAATATTTGTGTATGCGTGACAAATAAATGTGGTAATAAGACCATCCACATCCCTGCAATCCATTTACACTTTCAATTGTGCCACATCAGCTTTTGCAATTATCTTCCACACACCTGCAATTCACCTACTATACTTTCAACTGTGCCACGTCAGCTTTTGCAATTACCACCTACACACCTGCAATTCACCTCCACTTTCAAAAGTGGTCCCCACTACAACATTTTATATATTAGATTATAATTTTATGTAATTATAAAATTTAATGTTTAAATTAATTTAGTTATATTATATTTATATTTTTTTAAATAACATATATACATGCATAGAATATTTTCATATAAGAATAATTAATTTAATTAATAAATATATTAATATTATAAAAATTAATTTATTTAAATAATCAGAAAAAAAAAAAATTGGAGAGGAGGTGGTGCCCACGTGGCTTTCAAATTGAATTGCAAATTTTGCAATTCAAAATCCTACATGGCAGCAAGCATCTTCAAAAATGTATTTACAATTCAATTTGCAATCCATTTGCAAGCCCCATGTGGGTGCTCTAATATTTACGACAATAATATTTTATTATTCCTATCGAAAAAGATAGTTGAAATTAAATGTCATACAAAAATAATATTTTATTAAATTTACTAAATATTTTAATTGTATAATTAATATTAAAAATTTTAAATGAAAAATGGAATTTTATTTTATTATATTTGCCAGATGGGATAAAAATCAACGATAACGAACTGCCAGCGGAGAATCCACAATCACAATATTTCAATTCAATTTCTAGCTTCCATTTCCAGCACCATCTTCATTTTCAGGGGCAAACTCCCGCTGCAATTCCTCAAATTTCACCAACCAAATTAGGGTTCTTCCAATTCCTCCATTTCTTTATGGTAATCGCGATTTTCATCATCTCTTAATGGGTAAAGGAGGCGGATGTTTCCCTAGCAAAAACAGAGTACCGGCTGTCGTTGAATCGGATCCAGATCCTACTCCAAATCCGGTAAGTGATGATGATGGTGTTTCAATTCCGATTGAAACGGTAAATCAGATGATCGAATTCAGGAAACTCAGAATTTTCATAGTGTTTTATTCGATGTATGGGCATGTTGAGAGTCTCGCGAGGAATATTAAGAAAGGAGTAGAGGAAGTTGATGGAGTAGAAGGTGTTCTATATAGGGTTTCTGAAACGCTGTCACCTGAGACTCTGTCGGCGATGAAGGTACCGCCGAAAGGAGACGATATTCCGGAGATATCTGCGGAGGAATTGGTGGAGGCCGACGGGTTGTTATTTGGGTTTCCGACGAGGTACGGAAGTATGTCGGCTCAAATGAAGGCGTTTTTTGATTCAACAGGAAGTTTGTGGAGGGAGCAGAAGCTCGCCGGAGTTCCGGCCGGATTTTTTGTCAGCACCGGCACACAAGGAGGCGGTCAAGAAACCACCGCGTAAGTTTGCTTGTTTGTTGATCGCAAGTACGTTGCAGTGTTTTTGGGTTTGCAAATTTATTTATTTCAATTATTATGGGAAAAGTATAAAAAAAAACAATTCATTTTAATTAATTAAATCCTTTGATTACTTTTTTAATGTAAAACCATTATATATTTTTGTTTCAAATGATTAAATCATCGAACATTGTTTACTTATTTAATGATTAAATCATCGAACATTGTTTTTTTAATAAGTAATCGAACTATCAAAATTTGATATATATAGAGAGAGGGGGGTGAATTATTATACAACCTCTTATATTTCCCAATATAAAGTATTGATAATAATAAATGAAACTTATTCATCTTACATAAATATTTAAATCATAATAAATAAACTTTCATCATTTTCATAAATATTTTAATTTTTTGGATTGCATTGATTGTACAAATATAATAGGTTGCATTTGAAACAAACTCTCTATATATGTTCTTTTAACCTCAAAAACTTAATTGTAAATGATTAAGAAGATTTTAAGGTAAAAAAAATCCTAAATCAAATTTACTGTTTTCAAACCTACGTAATTCAATCATCTTGCATGCAATAACATCGCTCCTCCTAACCCATCGTCCTTCATTCTCTATACCATATATCACCGTGCGAGGGGGATCAATATCATTTGGGTGTAAGGGGTTTGAATAGCGTATGATTTGCGAATGGTAAAACCAATTTAGGTTTTTTTTACTTTAAAACCTTCATAGCAGTAACTTTTTGTGTTACAATGACATATGTAACCGATTTTTAAAAGTTCAATTTTTTATTTATTTAAATATTAATCTTTAAGGACTTAATCATTACAAAATGAAAAATTTAATGATTTCTTCATTCCAAATTTTTTTTTAAGGATTTAATCGTTTAAAATAGAAAAATTCATTGGGTCTTTTTTGGATTTTTTTCTTTAAAATTTAGTAAGTTTTCAACGTGTCATTATAGATCATTTTATATTGATATATAATTTATCAGTTAGTTTTATTATATATTATTAATTTTTAGACAACAATTATCTTATCAGCTAATTTGTCATAACATATATTTTATTTATTAGCTATTAGCTAAAATGTCTATTGAATAATTTGCTTTTAATCCTTGGACCGATTGTCTGTTTGGTTGCAGATGGACGGCAATTACACAATTGGCGCACCATGGGATGTTATACGTACCAATCGGATACACATTTGGAGCCGGAATGTTCAAAATGGACTCGATCCGAGGAGGTTCTCCGTATGGAGCAGGTGTATTTTCAGGAGACGGAACAAGGGAACCGAGCGAAAGGGAACTTGAACTGGCCCAACATCAAGGTAGGTACATGGCCTTGATCGTCAAAAGGTTTCAACCTGACTCGCAACATTAATTGGAATTGATAAATATAAAGTCAGATACATCTTTCAATACACAAGGTACAAGATTATTACGATTAATTTTTGTATGGTTGATTTGAAAGAATGGGGTTTTGAGGTAAATTCCATTTTAATTTCCATTTGGTCTTCACACCGATTTGTTGATTGTATGGATGTTTATAAGAGCAGATATTGATATGGCAGTTGTATTATGTAATTATATTATGATTGATGAAAAAATGTTTGTTATAAATCTAGTTGTCGTATTTTTAAATTTCGTAAACGACGGTACAAATCAAATTCTTTTATTCCATCGATTTCATTCATCTACAATTCAAGAAGAAAATAATTATTTAATTCGAATGGTTAATGACATCAAAATACGTTGAAGTTTGTTTTATTTTAATTTTTTTATTAACCCGGATATCCAACCCGCTATGTGAGCCGACTAATCCCAGAACAATCACCTGCTTTGCAGATAGCCCGGAGGCACCACATTTGAACCTCCATGACCACAAGGGGATTTTATTCTTCCGTGGATTTGAACCTGAGACCTCCTGATACTTTTAATTTTTAAAGCCAAGCTCAAACCGATCAGGCACCACCATTGTGGTTTTTATTTTAATTTTTAGTGCACTAAGTATATTTTTTTTTAAAAGTTTTTTCGAAGTAAATTTTGTTTTCGGTTGATGTAACAAAATTTAATAATGTTTCAAAAACAATTAACCAATGTGAAAATTTTCAAAATAATTCTAAACTTTTTTTACTCAATATAACATTTGATAATGTTAATGTCATCCATTTCGCTGTAACTCTTCTGTAAGCCCTTCACAAAAAGATATTCATGTAATCAAATGTTATAAAGGATGTTGGACATCTCTAGCGACTTAAAAGCCGCCCAGGAAGTGCCTCACACACACCAGCCTCAGACGACTTCCTACACGATGTAGGCCGCCGCACAAACTGTTTCCCCCTTGCATGACTTTTTCCACGCCTTCAACCATCCAGAAGCTCAGGCGGCTTACAACATGGCTTAGGTCGATCTGTAAGTAGCCCGGACTCTCGATTACACCAAATTTCTCAGATTTAACGTTCGCCTTGAAACTCAATTGGGTAAAATTTGCAATTGATAATTGATTATTTCCGATTTTTGTTTTAACAATATTAGAAGAAATACATGTCCATAATTACATTAAGGGGTTGTTTACCTAAATGATTACCAGCAAGTGCTTACTGTTAAAAGCCAATACTATAATTTATTTTTTGGGTAAGTTTATAGTATATCAAAATGGTATCGTATGCAACAATATATCTGGTAAGCTCTTACCCGGGTAAGAGTCCTCAGCCTCACTTACTAGGTAAAACTCTCTATCTTTATCATCGCTCTTACCAGGTAAGATTCTTGGGTCTTGCCATGTTCGTCCGATGAGAAAAATTACCCAATAAGCATTTATCAGGTAAACTTTTAGCAAACAGCCCCTAAATAAGGATTAAATAAAATATTATATTTTAATGTAATTTACCTAAATTGAAAATGCTTAAAAAAATTCCTGTGGATACATACGAGACACCCAAAAACAAAAAGAAATCTGTTATTTTGGATAAAACGAACCTCAGCTCCCGGTCTATCAATGGCTGTGAGTTGAGGCCATGTATCACTGTGATAGAATTCTCCGTTCGTCAACAATGGAGACTCTTCTGACCCTTAACCCCATAAAACCCCAAATCTATCTCCCAAATTACCCCAATTCTCGCATCACCAGCCACAGACGTTTGCATCCCCCAATTTCTTGTAAACTCACATCCCAATCCCCAAAAGATAAGACCCAGAACAAAGTTGTGGTTCCTGATGCAGCACCGTCTCTGTCGGAAGAAAATGGGAATCCACCTCCGGCAGCCGTGGATTCCCGGCGAAAGAAGACCGGTGGGGTGTTTCTGAAAAGATTGACGAAAAGGGTTTTGGCCTTTCTTGCTAATTTGCCTCTAGCTCTCGCTGAAATGTTCACCGTTGCTGGTTTGATGGCTTTGGGTATGTGAATTTATTTTTTGAATTGACTGCACCTCTGACTTAAAAGTCAAAATCTTCAAGTTTTGACCTCAAAATTTGATACGAAATTCAAATCATTTCAGAAAAAATTCTAACTACATCAAAACGTATAGTTAGTATCAGAAATAGAGCAAAGTTGGTAGCAAATTTATAATGAATATGTATCAATTTTTGATTTAAAACATAAAAGGTTTGACCCCAAAAAAGTCAAAATGCAAAGGGAGTATTTCTTTCAATGCCATTGAATGAATAAGAGATCCTGAATACAAATGTAATCGTTATAGTCCCATGCTGGCTAGACTTAGGGGCTGTCTGGTTGGTTTTCCATTAAGTCGTGTATGGATAAAGAGATCCTAGTATAGGCTGTTTGGTTGGTTTCCCATAGGGACAGTTACGGAAAAAACTTAGGTTTTTTGCATAAAAATCTATCCTGGAAGCATACTTAATAAGCCACTTTCTATATCATTAAGCCACAACCAAACAGTCATGTCGTGTATAGCTGATCGAATAAGCTGTGAACCCCATTAAGTTCATTAAGCTGCTAAATAACAGACCCTAGACAATTTCCGCTCAAGATATGTTGGAACCTCAGTTCTCTCCTCTAAGCATGTGTTGGAGAGTAACCTAATGAGTTCCGTGTATTGATATAAGAGCCAAGTCTATAACTTTAGGGACTCTGACACTCTTGTGTAACTTGTACCCGAGCCCCCTCTCGATTCTTTGGGACAATCCGTCAAGTTTTGTTAGATGGGACGTGAGCATGTTAGAGTCCCACGTTGGCTAGAATTGGGCAATTTCTCCTCAATATATGTTTTTGAAAGGCTCTTTAGGACAGTAATCTAACAAGGTTCCACGTATTCTCACAGTAATTACATTTCGTAGATCATACAATTATTGTGTCATCCGTACGTACAACTGTTTCTGCAGGCACTGCAATAGATCAAGGTGAGGTTCCAGAATACTACTTCCAGAAATACCCTGAAGATAATCCAATTCTAGGATTTTTTACATGGAGATGGATACTCACCCTCGGGTTCGATCATATGTTCTCATCCCCGGTTTTCCTTGGAACCTTAATTCTCTTGGGAGCATCTCTTATGGCCTGCACATACACCACACAGATTCCCATGGTCAAGGTAGCAAGAAGGTAGCCTTTCATCGAAACCTATTTCCGTTTCCTTTTACGATTTGGTATATTGTTCGATACCATCAATCAATTCGTATCCACTTTGAAGTTGAAAACCAAGATTCTTGTTTCAAATCTTAGCACCATTGTAGTTTCAAAATATATACGGTTGCACAAAACAAAATGATACGATAGCACCTTTCATGACCCTATAATTTTTTATATTACGACGGAGAAACGAAGCGGTGGCCTGTGCCACCACATACACCACCTGGGTGGCTGGGTCCATACCTTCCCCAGGGCACCCCTACCTCCAGGTGGGATATATTGGGTTCGTTTGGTTTGGTTTGGTTTGTTACCTGAAATTAGGGCTCTCTACGGATAGAGACGTTTTTGGTTAGTCATTTAACATGAACCATTTTACAGATGGTCTTTCTTACACTCAGCTAACACAATTCGAAAGCTGGAGTTCGCGGAGTCTCTTCCCAAAGCCTCAATTCAAGATTTAGGTGTCGTTTTGTCGGGTGTTGGATATGAGGTATATATAAGAAGGATTTTCTTGCATTTGATGTGTCGCTTTTTCGTTCACCGTCTGTTAATCTTTATACATTCTACCTACCTGCTTGCTCACACTCTTGCACAAGCGGGAGGTCTCATGAAAACAATTGCTTTACTCTTTTTGGGTAGAGGTCAGGTCTGCCTACATCTCTCTTTCCTGGGACCCTACTTTCGAGTGGGGTTTATTGGGTCTGTTTGGTTTTGGAGGGAGTGCGTTTAAATTTTGAACATCAGGTTCACGTGTCTTTTTGTAGGTCTTCATGAAAGGACCTTCTTTGTATGCCTTCAAAGGGATGGCTGGTAGATTTGCTCCAATTGGGGTGCATTTAGCGTTACTCTTGATAATGAGCGGAGGAACTCTTAGCGCTACCGGAAGTTTTAGAGGTTCGGTAACAGTTCCACAAGGCTTGAACTTTGTGATGGGAGATGTGTTAGGACCGAACGGATTCCTTTCTACTCCCACCGAAGCTTTTAACACGGAGGTTCATGTCAACCGGTTCTCCATGGACTACTATGATAGCGGAGAGGTGAGAATGGTTGATTCCGTTAGGTTTTTTTTATGTTCAAATGGAAGAAACTAGAAAGAAAAGAATGGGATCGGATGGAAAATTTCACCCGATCATCTTCCTTCCACATTCAGAAGAAGGGTAAAATGTATCAAAATGAAACGAATTTTGCCTTAAGATTCTATTTAGTGCAACAAATAATATTTTTTTCTCTATCGTTGTAACGAAGTTCCAAAATTTCCTATTTTTTACCCATTTTGAACGGAAACCTGCTAATTTTGTAACATTTGATGATGTGGATATCAAGTTTATCGTCCACTTTGTGGTAAACCTTTCGTAAATGGGTATGCCGTTATGGAATGTTACATGATCATCAGTTTACTGGTCAAACAAGTATAAAATAAGATATTTTGAGACTTTGTTACATCGATCGAGAAAAAAGAATCTTCTTTGCACAAAATAATAAGTAAACCAAACTTTGTTGCATGTCCATGTTTCATTTCCAATTTTACAATTTTACCTTAATTATGAGATGGAGAAATTCATTACTTAGGGACCGTTTACTAAACACTTACCCGGTAAGCGCTTACCAGTGAAATTTAACACTATCACTTACTTACCGGATAAGACTTTTGTCCACCAAAACGTCATTGTATGCAACAATTTACCCATTAAGCGCTTACCATGGTAAGAGTCGTCGCCCTCACTTACTGGGTAAGACTCTCGATCCTTGTCTCCCTCTTACTGGGTAAGATTCTTGGTCCTTGCCATATTCATCCGGTAAGGTAATGTGACTTGGTAAGCGCTTACCTGGGTAAGTGTTTGGTAAACGGCCCCTTACTCTGTTATGAAGGGTAAAATTTTCATTTAGTTAATCAAAAAGTGTAATAATTACACATTTCTAAAACTGTGTGTCTTTTTCATTGTGGATATTGATTTTGGGGCGGAGGGTGTAATTCGTTTGTTTTGACTTTGATATAGGTTTCGCAGTTCCACACCGATCTTTCCCTTTTTGATATTGACGGGAAGGAAGTGATGAGGAAAACAATAAGTGTAAATGATCCGTTAAGATATGAAGGAGTTACCATATACCAAACCGACTGGAGCATTTCCGCACTTCAAATACTTAAAGACGATGAAGGCCCTTTTAACTTAGCCGTTGCACCTTTGACCGTCAATGGCGACAAGAAGCTCTACGGAAGCTTCTTGCCAATTGGAAACACCGGTTCTCCAAATGTCAAGGGGATGTAAGATTCATTCTTTTATATCCTTTTCTTTCGTTCTAAATTTTACTTGTATTTCCTTATTACCTGTTATATTACCGATCTTATTGCCCGCTTGCACACATTTTGTGTCCCTGGGGTCTTTACAGAAACAACCTCGATCCTAGTGGTTGAAGTAAGGTTCGGGTACATTCTACCCCTTCGAGACCCTACTTTCGAGTGGGATATATTGGATTCGTTTGGTTTGATTTTCTTTTATTCTCCATTTTTGGGTCCAAATAAGATCCATAAAACGAAAAGGATGACTACAACAAAATTGGCATTATAGGACGTCAAAGATATCTAAATATCTTAATAGACTACTTTATAGGACTTAAGCTGTTTGTCATGTATCACTAACAGTGTTATAATAGGATGTTAGGACTTAACAAGTTCACGTTTGAAAAAAAGGTGTATTATTAGCTTTTTTATTGGAGGTAACGTTTTTCCAGAAGATATGTTTTCAGATAATGTCTTATAAAGCAGTCTATTAGGACGCATAATTTGTTTGGCGCTATAAAGACATCTATTAGGATATTTAGAAATATACGGTGTCCTATAAAACCGATTTTATTGCAGTGGCTGAATGACTCAAGTTAGAATGGAACCTCTTACTTTATACCTTTTTTCGTCTTGAAATGATTGAATTTGGTTTCTTGTTTTAGATCAATGCTTCTTCGTGATCTTCAGTCGGTTGTGCTATACGATTCAGAAGGGAAATTTGCCGGGGTTCGGAGGCCTAACTCGAAGCTTCCAATCGAAATCGATGGCACAAAAATCGAAATCGTAGATGCAATCGGCAGTAGTGGGCTTGATATGAAGGTAATTAATGGTGCAATTAGGTTCATGATTCTGCATTTCTTGATTCTAAATGGCATATGTATACTTACAGACTGATCCTGGGGTGCCGATCGTTTATGCTGGATTTGGTGCATTAATGCTTACAACTTGCATTAGTTATCTATCTCACACACAGGTAAGACTATTTTCGGTCAAATCTTGTTCCGTGAAGCGGGTCAAACTGAAACCGATTTCATCAAATTGTACCTATGATGACTCTAGGTCCTTCATGGTCGCCCATGGGATTAGTCGGTGAGCGTAAGCCGTCCCATTGACCCATGGTTACAAAAAAAGCTACTTTAAATAGCGTTTCAATGAATTTGAGGGGCTTTCTTTCACCTTTTTCCAAATATACCCTTTATATCAGTTGTTTTTACCAAATATGACTATTTTATCGTGTAGCTTATTAGCTAACAGCCAACTTATGAGCCAAGAGCTAGTTTGTCAAAACATAGCCTAACCCCTTTTGGCCTGACAGGTATGGGCATTACAAGACGGAACAACTGTGGTGGTTGGAGGCAAGACTAACCGAGCCAAGATTGAGTTTCCAGAGGAGATGAACCGCGTGCTGGATCGAGTCCCGGAGATACAAGAGTCTTCCGACGTTATTTGTGGCTAATTCCAAGAAACAAGATTCTTTTCGATTAATCAAATACAAAAGCATTTACACCAGAGCCATCAAGATCGAATTAAACTCTAAAGATTCAATTCAATTTGGTGGGCATATAAGAAGTCTCGACACTTTGCAAAATGTCAAGTTTATTGGGGGGAGTGTAAATAGCAACACAAAGGGCGTATAATACAATAGAATGTAACTGAATTCTCTTTTCGAGAATTTGGACTTCAGATTACACATATTATTCATTTAAACTTTGTATACTATTTTGGATATAAATGTTAGTTTATATGTCATATCATTTGACCCGTCAACGTGATATCTAATTAATACTTAAGCCAGTTATTTAGCCACTCAGGTACTTAGATGTTTAAGATTTTACAACTTAGATATTAAAATTAAAGTTTTAAAGAGGGCAAATCGTACGAAAAAGTAACGTACTTTAACTTGATTCCTATTTTAGATAACGTACTTTCAAAACTTTCATTTTGGTATCTAAGATGTAAAGTTTTAAACATTTGAGCACCCGGGTAACCGGTTGAAGCATTAACCGTTTATCATGTTGATGTGTTAAGTGATGTGGTATGTTGGATACCACATCACTTAACACATCAACATGATAAACGGTTAATGCTTCAACCGGTTACTCGGGTGCTCAAATGTTTAAAACTTTACATCTTATGTAAAATAAAAGTTTTGAAAGTACGTTACCTAAAATAGGGATCAAATTAAAGTACGATACTTTTTCATGCAATTTTTCCTTTTAAAAAATACTATAATTTATTACTCAAAATAGAAATAAGACCATAATAAATTAAAGTATAAGTGGAAGTATAAATCAAGTAATAGTTGAAGGACTTTTTCAGTTATTTAACAAACCAAAAGGAAAAGAAGTGAAAAATTCAAATAGTATAGGGGGCAAATTGGGATTTGTATGATTATTAGGTATATGAAATTAAAAATCGCGCCAGGTAGGGGTCGAACCTACGACTTTCTGCTTAGGAAACAGACGCTCTATCCACTGAGCTACAGGCGCACACATTTGCTTTATGTCAAAAAACCATATAAAAATGAATTGAAATCATCTAAAAGTATATGCAGTATTTAAATAAGTTGATTGTTACGTATTCGGTGACAAATAAATGTCTATATTTTTATTTTTACTTATTCATAAAATTGTGTGTTATTTTCATTGTAGACATTTACTTTGGAACGGTTAAAGTTTACTAAACGCTTACCAGGTAAGTACTTACCAACAAGAGTCATTACTCTCATTTACCTTATGATGTAATATTATCGGTCATCAAAATGTATTGATGGTAAGTGTTTATAATCCGGTAAGCATTTATCGGGTAAAAGTCATCACCCTCACTTACTGGGTAAGAGTATGGATCATTGTCTTCCCTCTTACCACGTAAGTTTTTTGGTCTTTGTTATGTTCATCATGTAAGATAATTGAACCGGTAAACACTTAACATGGTAAACGTTTAGTAAACGGCTCATAAATGAATACAATATGTTCATCTAAAGACGAGTTTAGGATATGATTTACATAAACTTAACCTGTATTTCAAATAATAATGTCCATATTTTCTTGTTTATTGTTTTCTTCAGAAACTCACCTTTTGATAATCCCCCAGCTTACATATAATTGAGATATACTTAGGGGCCGTTTACCCAATTGCTTACTGGGTAAGCAATTACCGATATAAGTCAACACTATGATTTATTTTGATGCGCAAGATTTTAGTACATCAAAACATATCGAATGCAACAATTTACTGGGTAAGCGGTTACCTGAGTAAAAGTCTTAATCCTCACTTAACGGGTAAAACTCTCCATCATTATCATCGCTCATTTCATTTGATTTAATTTACTTCTTAAAAGTAAATTAAAATTCAGAAGATATATAAGGGCTTCAAAGGCCCATTAATAAATTGGTATATGCAAAACTCTTTCTTGCAAATACAAGTTACAACTATTAATACAATTCGTAACAAAAATTAAAAGAATTAAATAAAATAAAAATCAAATGTTTTATTTTAATAAAAACACAGAAAAACTTTTCAGAACCCACCAAGTATTGTCCAAGATTTCTTTCAAGTTTCAACCTTTTGCTTTTGGCTTATAAAATGGTCCCCAACTCTTTGATAATAACAAATAATGAAATTCATTAATAACATAATAATTCAACCATTGATAAAAATAATCATTGAATTTCTTTGTTTTAAATCATTCGGGGTTTTTGAATGAATAAACTATTAAACTTCTAAAACAATGAAAATCAGTTACCTACATATTTTTAAGCTAGAAACTTAAATCAGTTTAAGTATTCTCAAGTCCTACGCTATTCAAACCCCTCATACCCAATGACATCGCTCCTCCTTGTCGACCCAATGACATCAATTCTTCATACCGTTAATCGACTTTGTTGGTCATTGGCATTCATCTCCCTCTTTTTGATCTGTTTTTTTTAATCTTTTGATTATCCATCTTTTACCACAATTTAGTGGCGTGATAAAAGAGTGGACGATGGTTGGGCGACAAAGATGTAGAAGGGGAGCAATGGTGCTAGGTGCAAGGGTGGGGCGAGGGGACAATGGCATTGGTTGTAGGCCACACAAATAGGGGTGATAGGCATAGTCATTCCAGGTCCATGCATGTTGGAGATCATGGAGGTTTACAGGAGATCCTAGAGGTCGGATCCAAGGCTCTACCCTGGTTTTTCTTTGGTTTCTCCTAGGGGCCTTTATCGTATCGCGCGCATCTTCCAGCAATCGGGGGAGGCCCCAAGTACATAGACGGGGGTGGTCCTGGGAACCATGGTCTATCCAACAGTGCTTCATATCCTCCTTGCTCTTTGTCTAAGATTGGACTAAAGGTACCAAAGAAGGCAGACTTTTTTCTTGTTTTTCTTTTAGCTAAGAAGCCCGTAAGTTGTACACCAGCCATATGTAGCTGGAACTATGATGACCACAATGCTTAGCTATTGCCGATCCCCAAGAAAGATAGATACGAAATCCGGATTAAAAAGATAGAGATATCAAAAATCCAGATAAGGGTGCAAGAGCAGTAGAACCGACCTTAATGAAAACTGGCTGAAAGAATTTGAACTAATTGTATCACAATTGAGCGTTTTGTGTCCAATCGCTACATAGACACAATACATTGTCTCCATCGCCTTTGCATCCAGACACTTCACGGCGGCTATGATCAAATCCCAGTGTTGGTTCACTTTTGACTTTATCCTCCACCAAATCTTCTGATCTCCTGTCCTTTGGGGTTTGTATAACATAGAGTTTTGGAGCAGTGAGAATTTTATAGATTTTTTTACTTAAAAACCTTAACTTCCTATTCAGCTACATGTAGGTTTTTTGAAGTAAAATAATGTAGGTAACCAGTTTTTATAAGTTTGGTGTTTTATTTATTCAAAAAAAAATGTTTAGGGATTTTAATGATTTTTTCATTCAAAAAAAGATCATAGACTTATTCAAAGCAGAAAAGTGCGTTGTGGACTCTGAATTTTTCTCTTTATTTATTGAAAGAGTTGATCACTGTAAATGAACATATGAAGTGTGCTTTGTCAAAGAGAAATCATGAAGAAATATTGATGTTTTATGAATATCAGTTTTTTTTATAGCTAATTATGTACTTTTGTTTTTGTTTGAATTACATGTGTTTGTGGTCCATTCATGTTTCGTATAGCACGTGAAAGGCCTTCTTTGAAAGGTTTGAATCTTGAGTTGTCTAATCCATATCGATTGCCTTTTCACTCGGCTTATACCGTCTTTGGAACGTTCGCTCTATAAGAAAGTGGGTTTCGTTATTGCCATGAATATATCATGTGAATACCCTTTAAGGTAAGCAATCAACTCGAATATTTCCTTAAGAATAACCCATCACTCGTTTTCTAAAACATAAAAGATATTTGCCAAAAGCCGAAGTAAATGCAATCATAGATGCTTTGATGCCATATTATAAAGCATTAAATGTTCATTTATAATGATGATAATGCAAAAACAGATAAAAAAGAAGACGCGAACATATATCATATCTTGATGAGTATCAATCAAATGAGTCAGGACATCTCAAGCAGTTATTTTAAAGTAATAGGTTTTGGTGATTTAAAAGAGTATCTGTTTTTTCTACAACAGTTATGTTAAAACACATAAATAAAACAAAAAAAAAAAGAAAAAAAGAAATGAGAATGTATAAAGCTGCAATAAGAGTATTTAAAATATTAATACTGAAACTATTAAAATAGAGTAACTGTTGGAGTTGGATGCAATTATTTAAATAATTTTAATTTTAGATACACTATTTAAAAAAATACATAACATAGATGTTGCATATACTTTTACACTTTAATATGATTGTTTTCCACATTTTTTTGCCCTTTTTTGTCCTATTGACCCTTTATAYATWTATATATATATATATATATATATATATATATATATATATATATATATATAAGWCATAATGACGTATGAGAAAAGATATCAACTCACAAACGCAAAAAAAACGTTAACAATTCTCACTATAATTCGTGATATTTGATTTCGGTTTTTAACGAATCTTACTTCTCATCTTTTTCTCTCTTTCATTGCATTATTACTTACTTATAAGATGACAAGGGAATATGTTGCATCCAACAAAAACATTGTCAGAGTTATCACCGACCACGGAAGAAAGGCCAAGATTTGAAATTCTTACAACATGGTCTTACTCATAAACTAGAAAAAAAAAGGCACAACGCAAAATGTGTCAAGCTCTCCTTAAGGTCGTAGGAAATGCAACTTTGAGGCTTCACACCGAAAAAAGATGTCCAGGTTTGAGGTCGGTGAACGGTGATTTAAATCGACCTATACTTGATAATCAAGATGGAATATGGACGTTTGATGCCGATTTGAACCGTTGAATGACACAACCGTCAAATGACACATTAATAGCAGAATGTGTCATTCAAGCCTGGTACCAAACTAATGATCTAAATTTTTTTCTTTTTTGTGTATTTCTTTAATTAATTTTTTATTTTTTGGTTTAATAATATAATTTTTTATAAATATAACAATTAATTATTTTGTTAAAACTCAATGATTATCTTAATTGTATTTAAGATTTTTATATATTTAAATTGTGATATTTATACTCTATTTAATTATGTTTATTTGCAGTTAGTTATACAAATTCAAACATAAAGCTTTAATAAGTTGTACTTGTACACAATTTACTTGTAATCTTAAATTTTAAGTAATATGCGTCAATAAATAATAATTTATACATAAAAAATAGTTTTTAATAATTTTTATCAAATATTTCTTAATATAATATAGAAAATCTTGTGAATGGAATTAAAAAACTATGCGTTTAGCACAAATTCATATTCTAACACAATGATCACGCTTTTCTCAACAACCATAACGACCCGCCAAAATATTTCAATTTTGGCCCAAAATCTTTTGGATCTCCCTTTTTGGTCCCTTTTTATCTTTCTTGAAAAATAAAAAGCCAAGAATAACCAAAGAGAAAAAAGCTGACCTCCACCTCCCCCACGGCCTCTGCATCTTCATCTTCCCTAATTTCCTCCATTATCATTTCAAATTAACCCCTCCATTCTTCTTTCTACTTTTGTGGTTCTTCTTTGATTTCTCCTTGACCTTGAAATGTGGCCAATTCGAATCAAATCTACCAGAAATCATCATAGCCCTAGTTATAACAACAATGATCATAGCCCTAGAACACCCTCCAACCCTGATTTCAATCATCAATCCTTTAAGGATATCGAGACTCTCTTCCCTCATGTTGATTTGAACAACGCCATTCAAGAACAACCATCTTCTTCTTCTTCCTCACCTACTTGCTCCGCCGACCTTAAGCGACGATCCGTCTTCCATCGTGTTCATCTCGCCAATCGAATTACTCGCGCCTTCTCCATCCGACCAAAACCAAGCCCGGAGGAAATACTCACGGAACCGAACCAAATCGCGGCGGCTGAGAAATCGGAAAAGCTGGAGAAACCTGAGAATTCTATAAAATCTCAGCCGCGGATCCCGATCCCTGGAGCGGAAAAACGAGTAGTGATATACGTGACAAGCCTCCGAGTGGTCCGATCGACGTTCGAGGCTTGCCGGACCGTTCGTTCGATTTTCCAAGGATTCCGTGTTCCGATCGACGAGCGAGATCTGACGATGGACGCTTCGTTTTTTGACGAGATACGGAAGATCATGGCTCAAATAGGGCAAGGCGAGCCTCGAAGTTCGAGGGTAGATCTCCCCAGAGTTTTCATCGGCGGCAGGTATATCGGAGGGGCAGATGAGGTTGTGGAATTGCATGAAATAGGTGAGTTAAAGAAACTCGTAGAAGGGTTGCCGGCGGCGACTCCCGGCGTCTGCAATTTTTGCGGCGGATTTAGATTTATCCTGTGCCTGGAGTGCAACGGTAGCCATAAGTGTCACATAGAAGACGGTGGCTTTAGGACTTGTACGGAATGCAATGAAAATGGTCTCATAAGGTGCCCTTCTTGTTTAAGCACTTAAAAATCATAATAAAAAAATATTTTTATTTTATATATAATTTTAGATTAGTGAAGGAAATTTTTAGGCAAAAATCAAGAAAATTAGAGGGTTTTTTTTCACAATTTTGATTTATATTTTCTAGTTTTTTTTTGGGTAAATTCCATTTAAAAAATGTGATGTTTGATATTTTTTTAGGGTTTTATTTAGTTTCAACCATGATTTTGAGAAAAAAAAAAAAAGGCAAATAAAATTGAAGTTGTAGCCTATTGATACAGTTTTAAACGGGTTAATGAAAGGCTCAAACACATGTAAAATTGGGCCCAATTTTTTAGGGTTTTACTCAAAATCTATACTATATTATAAAATATTTAATAAAACTCTTAAAAACTATTTTTTTTATGTATGAAGTATTGTTTATTGATGTATATTACTTACAATTCAAGATTACAAGTAATTTTGCATAAGTACAACTTATTAAAGCTTTATTTTTTAATTTGTGTAACTAACTGCAGATAAACATCATCAAATACAAGATAAACATCCATTTTAAATATAGAAGATCTAATATATAATTAAGATAATCATTGAATTCTAACAAAATACTTGATTATTATCTTTATAAAAAATTATATTATTAAATAAAAAAATGAATTAAGAAAATACACAAAAAAGAGAAATTTTAAATAGCTAGTTTGATACTAATGTAAAAAAATCTTTTTTAGGATACATCTTCATGTTTATATTTTATTCAAAAATAAAAATATTATTGTTTTTTCAAAACCACATAAAACTGTATTGTAACATCAACTGAGACAAAAAAAAAATGTAACATAAAATCAAGACATATCTCGCTACACTGTGCGAGTATCCTTCTAGTTTAACAAAATTGTTTTTGTTTTACAACTAAAGTATAATAATAAGATCTTTTTTTTTTTAATTCTTAGTCTGTAAAAAAACTTGAACTTGTAATGAAATTCGAAGTTTGTTGTTAGTTCATAGAAAAACTGGATAAATCTTGGTTGCGGAGTGATAAGACGTTCAAGATTTTCTTTATAAGGATATATTGTCTCTATAGAATTTTTTAGAGAGAGAGTTAACAGGGTTTTATCATATCGTCACATTGTATTAGAGTCGGGATCTGGTACATCTTGGAACTTGACACACTCTAGAGTAAATGATATATTGGGCAAAAAATGGTTAAAACAAGAGGATCACTGATGCGTTATGATCGTAAGTGTGCACACAGTGGACACAAAATCCCCGAAGTGGCGGTGCAAGTGCACGCCGACACTCTGGTCGCTTCAAGTAATAAAGTGGTATAGTACCAAGATCATTTCCACAGGGACTGGACTTAATGAGAATATGAGATTTTCATGAACTTCTTGAACATGTTTCGGTTTGAGAAAATATTTGAGTTTTGATTGTGCAAAGCTTAGAAATATGAAATAAACCTTTAAGATTAAAAGATGGGTATGGGTGTAAGCTTCCCTTAAGAATATTGTTGGAACAGTTTGGTCAGGAACTCATGAGACTTCTATAAGAACTTCGATCTCTCGAAAGTGAATTCTTATATACTGTGCCCACAGAGTGCCCACAAAGTGTCCAGTTTTATCAACCTTAAACTTGCCAAATTAGCTAATAGATAAAAAGATATCTGGTTCCACTAGCTTGAAGATTTATACTCACAACTCATTATGGTATAAACTCGACTAATATTTGAACATTAGCTAAAAACATGCAGAACCCGCATCTCTGCGTGATTATCAAAGACTCTCTCAAATCTTTGTACATCATTTAAGCCGTATTTCAGATCCGCCCATATCTGGATCAAGGATCTAATATTAACACTTCAAAGTGATCAGCTTATCTGCGTTGAGCTTAAGTCCTGACTTAAATGACCAAACTTAATAATCAATAAAATTGGCAACACCCAAGTGCACCTTCAAATTCTTAAGTTTGACTCACACCCACACCCAAAGGGGTGCTTAGCTCATAATAAAATTAGAAAACATAGAGGAAACAGAAGAAGAAAAGTGCATAATAAATACTTGAACTGAAAATAATACTTAAATTGTTGCCCACATGGAGCATACAATGCACAGTAGCGAGAATTAAAGACTAAGTACGAAAATAAAATTACAAGCAGAAATTAAACTCGCTCTATTGTTGTAGAGCTTGAGAGAATGCTCCAAGGTTGCTTAGCTGAATTGATGATGGAGTGGATGTCTTCCAAATGAGAGAAAAGCTTCAATATATAGTGAAAAAGTGAGAACCGGACAAACTCTTCGCCCAAAGGAAGAAAGTCAAAGGGTAAAGACCTCTCATCACCACATGTCTACTTTTTCTGGCCTTGTCACTTTTTCTGGCCTTGTCACTTTTTCTTGAAATGTTGAGAAAGGTAAAGTTACATAACCATTAAAATAATGAAAAGATAAGGAAGACTTTTTCATTAAAATAATGGTAGAATTACTTTATTGACATTTTATAATTCAACCAGGCCTATTCTTCCAAGTAGCTCAAGATTTTCGGATCTGAATTCAGAATTAAATTCCATTAATACCCAAGAGAGCCAATATTTGAATTTTGTTCAAATCTGTCTTGAGAAAAATACGCCATAGGAAGAATGTGAGCAGAAAGTGGGCAGTTTACCAACAACAATGGGTTTTTAAAAAATAATTAAATTTTTGACCTTTCATCATCTCTTAACATATTTTGGACCAAAAATACAGGATATGAGCAAAATGGGTACCAAAGACACAATAAAATAGGGGTATTGAACAACAAATAATTCTCACAAATTGAGAATTATCACACCCCCAAACTTGAGGTTTTACTTGTCCTCAAGTAAAAGAAAATAAAGAAAACGACACCTAAAGAAAGGAACAAGAACGAAAAACTTACAAAAGGTGTTGGAAATTCGTCTAATAAAGAGGATGTACAACTTCCTTGCTTGATCTTCGTAGTGTTGCTCGTTAATCAGTAGGACTTAAGGGTTGGCAATAACAGCGTGTATCCCTCCCCCAAACTTATCCTATACTTCAAAAGGGTTTGAAACAAAAGTTCTCGTTGATTCACTTTTGAGTACTTGGAAAAAGTTCGTGACTCATTTCTTGGCATGAACTTGCCCTTTAAAGTTGAATTTTCTTCCGCCGTAAGGAGAGCTTGACACATTTGGTATTGCGCCTCTCTTTTCCCGTTCGTGAGGATCACCATGTTGTATACATTCCAAATCTTGGACTTTCATCCGTGCTCGAAGAGAACTTGAACAACATGTTCGTTTGATGCATCATGTTGTTCACCGGTCATTTTGGAAGACAGAGAAAAAGAAATGAGAATTGAGAAGTGGAAGCGAGAAACAAACACAACCCCGAAATCACAAAATATAGCGAAAATTGTGATTTTTTTTTGCGTTTTCTTAGTTGGTATCTTATCCCATACACTATAAGACTTATATATAGTGTTTATGAGGCCAAAATGACTAAAAAAAGGTTAATTTTTGATGGAAAAAAACGATCATATGACCGTCAGTCAACGTTCAAGTTTTGAATTTCCGGGCCAGTTTGACCATGTCTAATAGGAAGCATCTATGCCCACACCTTGAGTTGGGCTTGAGCCTACTTAATTACCTTAGGCATAACCATATTTCACATGTCGATTGGCGAATTTGATGGATATGTTTTTCGATCTGTTATTTAATTTAATCCAACTCGTTTATTTTGTCAACAGTTTTAAAAGAGGTCAAGTAAAGATGTAATATTATTGTTGTTTTATATGGTACTAGAAGGGTACTCGCGCAATGCAGCAAGATATATCTTGATTTTAATATTTCGTTTTATTCCTTCTCTGAATACGTTATAATACAGTTTTTATATGGTTTTGAGAAATAAATAATGTTTTTATTTTTGAATAAAATATAAATTTAAACATATCAAAATTTTTTGAAAATAAATATATCAAAATTAGTATCAAATTAACTATTTAAAAGTTTTTTTTTTTG